CTCAAAATGTTGAACTTGTTGCCTGTGTTCTGCATCCTGTTGCATTGCATTGCATATCATTTACATAATTCATTGCGTGCATCCAGTCTATCTAGCAACTCATTCCAATAGTTCATTGTATGCATCCAGTCTATCTAGTAACTCATTCCAGTTTCCTCTATCTTTCAGTCATTTTCCAGTCGTCAAGTTGATTCTTCGACACTAATACATGACTATAGCTAACTACAAACGCATAATGTCAGAGCAAGAAGTGCGTAACACAGAGATCCGAAGGGGAAATGATGATTTGAAGTCAAACATGACCAAGCTCACTGAAATGCTCCAATTCATGATTGCTAGAGGGGAACCATCTCAAAGGATTGTTATCCAAGAAGTTACAAGTGCTACTATTAATCCTCAACCTTCCCAAATGCCGCCATCTACATGGCTTGAGTTTGGTTTGCCTCACAACTTCTCTCCACCTCTTGCATCTACTGTATGATTGGTCAAACTGCTAGACTAGTATTTCAAGCTCTGGTTTTCGCTGAGCCCAGACCTGTGGTTCACACTGTCACCTAGACTACTCGAGCTCCATTCGAGAACCCTCCCTATGAGTACAATGCTGCTAGTGCTCACGGTGAAGACCGTGAAGACTTTGTTGAACCTGAAGTTGTTCGTGAACAATTTCAGACCATAGACAAGAGACTTAGAGCCATGAAGGGTAATGACTTCTTTAGTGTGGATGCAGACAACATGTGCCTATTTTCTGACCTTGTTATGCCTGTCAAATTCAAAACTCCCGAGTTTGTGAAGTACAAAGGTCACTCCTGTCCAAGTGCCCATTTGGTTATGTACTTCCGAAAAATGGATGCTTATACCAACAATCAGAAGTTGCTCATCCACTATTTTCAAGACAACTTGAGTGAATCTTCTCTAAAATGGTACATGAACCTTGAACAAAACAACATCCATTGCTTCCAAGATCTTGCAAATGCTTTCATGAAGCAGTACAAGTAAAACCTCGACATGGCTCCTGATGGTCGCCAGCTTCAGAACATGACTTAAAATGAGAAGGAATCTTTTAATGAGTATGCTCATCGGTGGAGAGATTTAGCTTCCCAAGTTGAACCTCTTTTGGAAGAAAAGGAACTTAATGGAATGTTTATGGACACCTTGTCTTCATTCTATTGGGAAACGATGATTTTCAATGTCTCCTCAAGCTTCACGGATTTGGTTACCATTGGCCAAAGGCTCGAGGAAGGACTCAAGGACAGTAAAGTCTCTAAGTTTGCTGAGCCTTCCAATGGTGCAAAGAAATCATATGGGAACTTCCAAAAAGAAGAGAGAATATTATACTAATGTTGTCATGACTGAGAGAAGACCTCATCCCAGACCTCAGTATGTTGATCACCCTACTGTTACTACTATTACTACTCCACGACTAGCTCAAGTACCTCAACGTCTGACTGTTGGACAAAACCAGTACCGAAATAGGCTCTAACCCCACAAACCCTACGGTTTGTTGTTGATTCAACCACCTTCAAACCCTTGATGAAAGCTTGATTAAGTCACCAACAATGCGGATATAATCCACCGATTATCTCAAGCACGCACTTGTTAAACCCAAGATTTTTGAACACGATTCACCGTCTCGCACTACTCCCTTTCAAGGAAAATACTTTATCCCAAGCCCTTCACTCGGTTGAATTCATGTTGACGTGATCTTGTCTAAAACCTTCAAATTCCACTGATCTTGAAGGAAAACTTCACCTTGGTTTTTTTTATTTGAAACACACAAAGATCCCAACCTAATATTTTCGGTTACACCAACCTAATTAGACATTATCAACCCTAATCTAGATGGTCACCCAATCAAAAAATGATTATGTGTAGTTCAATTGTGTGTATGCATAGAAGAAAGGTTGAAGATTATGGGAATGTTTTGTAATATAGTTCCGTTTAGGTCATTCACTAGTACCTTGCTAGAAGAAGGTGCATGTATGAGTGTGTGTGTGTGTGTGTGTGTGTGTGTGTGTGTGTGTGTATATATGTGTATGTGTGTGTGTGTGTGTGTGTGTGTGTGTGTGTGTGTGTGTGTGCGCGCGTATGTGTGTGTGTGTGTGTGTGTGTGTGGAAATAGGTAAAAGAGGATGCAAAAAATAAGATACACAACAAAATGTTTAAGTTTTAAAGTCTACAGGTCGGCCTATGAAAGCAATACGTCGTCATGTCAAAGTGTCAGGTTGGCATGAGTGAGGCGAACAGAGCCTACAAACTTTATTATTAATGCATGGGAGCTGGCCTGTAATTCTATGTGTCGGCCTGTGCTGAAGCAAAAGCTTCTATAGATCGGCCTATGCAACTGTGTTTACACATATAACTTAGTTTTTGATGTGTGTGATAGGCCTAAGCCTTTTCAAAAACATTTATATGCATCCTAAGGCTAAAATGATCAATGCACATCTAAACTTAGGTTGATAATGTTCAATATACAAGAACGCTAAATCATACTCCTAGTTTTGACATTATTCAAAACATGGTTGAAGTTGTGGAATGCACTCAAACATTTTCATGAAAAATTCATCATACATTATATCTAAACATAACAATTCATCAAACACTTTATGTTCATACAATTTTAACTAAACTCCAAAATTAAGTATTCAACAGTTAGACCTCGTATTCAACAATTTAATTAAAATATTAAACAATGTTCAATTAGATTAAACAATCATTATTTATAAATATTAGAATGTCTAGATTAAAAATATGTTTTTTATTTTGGCGTTTGATTTTCAGTTGGTGATGTTTAATAAAGAATGTGCGTAGGTACAAAATATTCTATTTTCTCGTGGTTGAATACTTTTATTCAAAAAGAAGTGATTAAATTTAGGAATAAATAAGTGTTCGATAAGCTTGACTTCCATATTTTTGTTATGAGGGAGGAGATTAGATCCTTAGATTTAAAGGTTGAGCAGGGTGTTATTCTTTATGATAAGGTGGTTGCTAGGACGATGGTCATTGCAGAACTTTTGTTTTTACATAGGATTAAAGACTTTCAGCTTTTCAAGTGTTTTGATTGAGTGGCTAAGGAAAGAGGATGCCATATAGATTTTTTTTCATGCTTACGTTAAGAATAAGAGTAAGAGAAATCATATTTTGGCGCTTCGTGTTGGAGATGCCTAGTTGGAAGGTGTGTCTGAGATTCGGTAGGAGTTGAGAAACTATTTTTCTCATCACTTTAAGGAGCCTTTTGTCGGTCTTCCTCTTGTGAACATGGCTGACTTTAAGAATACCTCTTTGGATAATAGTGAAACCCTTTCTTCTTTTTCTTCTTTGTTTCTTCTTTCAGAGATCAAAATGACAGTCTCTTGATGTGAAGGGAATAAGAGTCATGATCCTGATGGTTATAACTTATCTTTAATAAGAAGATTTTGGCATCTTTTTTGGGAATATTTGATTCATATGTTTGAGAAACATTATTGTATGACTACTATCCTCCGTATCTTCTTTGTCACACTGATACATAAGGTCGAGTTTTCCTCCCTTTTGGAGAATTTCTGCATTATTTATCTTGTTGGGTTCCTTTACAAAATTGTTGCTAAAACTTTGGTGGCTAAATTGGCTAAGGTTATGGATAAATTTATTTCTGTTAATTAATTAGCTTTTCTTAAAGGAATGTTATTGGTTGATGAAGTTATGGTTGTGAATGAATTGGTTGATTGAGCCAAAAAAACTAAAAGAGACTGTTTTATTCTCAAGTTAGATTTTGAAAAGATATTTGATTTCATAAGTTGAAATTTCTTAAACAATATATTTATTAGATTCAATTTTAAGGACAAACGGATGAGAGTTTGTGTATTTTTTAAGAATCTTATTTCGCCTCCCGAGTTTCTAGTGAATGTATTGTATGCAATATTACTAGTGAATAAATGAACTAAGTCATTGTGGAATGAAAACTATAGTGACAACATTGTTTCTTTTAAGTTAATGAATGTTTTGTCTCCCATATTTCTAGTGAATAAATGAATAAGTCTTGTGGAATGAAACCTATGGTAACAACATTGATTTTTATGATAATGTCAATAATTATTTATCGATGGTCAAGGCTCTAGGAACTCATCATTTGTTGATGATGAGCCTTTCCAACTCCAATAATTTAGAAATTAGAGTTGTTACATACTATACTATTATTAAACATTTTATGCTCCTCCATATGAAGGCAAATATCTTATTCTATTATTTCCTTCCATTAGTGTTTGGTGTTGTGTTGACTCACCAATATTTAGGTTTCACTTATGCTTCTTGAGTACGAATTGATTCCTACAATTATTGATTTGGCTAATGTACTTTATCTCCTTCTCTATGCATAATTGAATTCCATATCTAACTTTCTCTAATAAACAATTTTTTCAATGTTTTCTTCTCTCAATTTAACCAATTATGGTGGCTACTCATAAAATCAATTATAAAATCTACTTCCTTTTTTATATTCCTCATTGTTTGTTATTTTCTTGTCATAAACTTGATTGCCGCACTTGTTTATTAAATTGGATCAATTTTGTTGTCATGTCTTGTCATTTCATCTACCACATAATGGTTTTACCAAAATAAGTAAAAACAGAGTGCTCTGTTTTCATATTCCATTGTTAGTATTTATCTTAAATCCAACATGAACATAAAAAAGATAATAAAGTTTTTGGAATAAAAATATTCCCACTAACAATTATTTTATAAGAAAAGAAATAGTAATAAAAATAGAAATAAATGAAAGGAATCCCTACATATTCTTATTCCAAACATGCTCTTTATGCTTTTTCACTTTTCTTCTTATCCATGTGATTTATGCAAGAATAACATTCTAAATTTAAAATTGTTATCTTCTTTTCTTTTAGAAACATTTTTCTCAAAAAAAAATGATAAGCAAGAGTGATTAATTTCAAGTTAATATTCCATTGAAAATTATGTAGCACTTATGAACAAAACTATCTTCATAATACAACAAAATCTAAAACCATATTTCATATAGCCAAAATCTCATTATTATTATTTTTGCCATACACTAATCTTGATGTGATCAACAATTCTTCTTTCCATTTTTTGTTAACTTTCTCAATAAACTCTTCTACTCTTTTCCTCAACTCATCATCATTCTCTTCAATTTCAACATCTTCATTGTTTTCAACTTCAATCTCAACAACTTCTTCTTCTTCTTCTTTAGCTTCAACGTCGATGACGACACGCGAGACTTCTTTCTCTTGAGTCAATGATTCTATACTGTTGGAGTTGATTTCTTGTTTTTGAGTTTCAGTTTCACATATTGAAAGATGGATTTCACTGTTTTGATGAACATTTACACTTGGCTTCAAATCCAATAAAATAATCACTATGATCAAATTACAAAAGCAAAAAATGAATGTTGAGCTAGAAGCAGCTTGAGTAATCAACTCCAATATAGAATCCAACATGATGGTGAAGAAAGAGTGAGATGAAAATATGAAAAACTATTTGAGAATTTTAAAGGCTATTTAAAGACTTGTAGAGATAGATAGATGCATAACGTGGAAAGTACATTTAAGTTATTTTTTGTTGAAGAATTTAAGGAGTTGCTGGTGAGGTGTATTGTGAAAGCAATTGGAATATATGAATAATGTGTGTGAGAAGTTTCTTACAAGTGTGTGTGGGGTGGGGTATGTTTGATTAATTAGTTATTAATTAATTAAGTTAAAGTAGTTTGTATGTACTATAAAAAGAACATCACATGGAGCTTTCTGGGCCATTCAAGGACACAGGGTTATATGTCATCACTTGACATCACCTACCAAACTTTTTTAGGTGTTACTATCCCTAATCTCACTTTTAATTTCTATCAACCTCTGAAATTAATTTGGTCGGACCCGTTTAATTCAATTTTGCAAAAATTTGAAAAAAATATATATGGAGAGTCTAGAGGTGGTAATGGGTATTTATGTCTCATTTAGGTTTGTTTTACAAAATTTTGTAACTAAATAGAGTGGAGTGTGATAGACATTGTGGAGGGTGCTGATTTAAAATTTTGGTTTGTCTAAAAAAATTAATGGTGGAATGGAGCCGACAATTAGACATTAAATTTTAAAGTTAAGAATGCAAAAGATTATGTTAAGGCTCGCATTGGCAAAAATTCCTACAAAAAAAAATAAAGCGGGCAAAGCGGATAGAATAGAGGGTGAGGGTTTAAAATTTTGATCTGTCACGTAAAAAGTGTGGGTAAAATGGTAAGGCCGTCTTTGAGGGTGTGCAAAGCAACCTACAACACAGAGCGTCACAAAATTTCAAGATTATGTTATGGCAAAAAGGGTCTTCATACATAAATTTCACAATTAATTTATCGTTGAATATGACCCATTAAAAAATTTCACAATTAATTTATCGTTGAATATGACCCATTAAAAAATTTCACAAACTTACTCCAACTTCTTACACAGAACCTCTCAAAAGTTTGAGATGGTTCTGCAAATGGGCATGTCCGACAGACCGTGCCTGTTTCAGCACCCCTAAAAGGGATGAACTAAGTTTAGGAGTATTTAATACATTCAGTACTCAAAAACACATAACGCAACAACTTAATAAATTTGTTAGAACAACTATTAAGACCTTAACCATAAATTCAAGACAATCCAGTAGATACCTTGAATAGCTCTTTCCACAACTTCTGTTACTTTAACATCTCCATACGATGTAGAGAAACAAAATATTAAACTGAAAAACTTTCATCTTTCCCTGGATTAATTTCGGGGTGGTTTAAACAACTAATCTTACGATTACGGAAACCCGAAAAGGTTTTTCCGTTTGGAAGGATGAAGGAAAGAGATTGGATTAAGGTTCGACGTAAGAAACCAGTGGATCGTTCGAATAGATTCTCGGTGTGGTCGGAGAAAAGAGGGAAAGGATTGGAGGCAGAAAAAGAATTTCCATCTTTCTTTTTCACAGAGTTTCCTGAGTCTCACAATGTTAATGATATGGTCATAGTATTCAAAGATTTTGGGATTGTCAAAGAAGTGTTCATACCATCATGGAGGGATAAGCGAGGAAGAAGGTATGGATTTGTGAGGTTCAGGAAAGTTAAGAACGTTAGACTTATGGCAACAAAGCTTGATAGCATCCAAATTGCTGGGACAAAGTTACATCTAAACGTGCCTAGGTTCCAACGTGATAATGGAGCGATGAAAAGGGGTAATATTGAAGTAGAAAAGGCTGGGCATAGAAAAACTGATACTTTATTGAAATCGTGTATAAACAAAGGGAGAACAATTGCTCAGTCGAGGGGAAGATCTTACGCACAGGTCGTGGGGAGTTCACAAGGGATCTGAAAGGAAAAGAAACCAATATTTGCACATCTGCAGTTCAGTGTAGATAAATCGGAACTAGAATCTCATGAAACCAAGAGCTACTTATTGTATACAAGATGCTTTGAATGCTGAAGGGTTCTTTGGCATCAAAGCTACTCCACTTGAAGCAAACAAGTGTCTGCTAGAAGAATCTGAGGTGAGGGTGATTGCAGCCCTTGTGCGTGAGGAAAAAGCTCAGATTTTAAATTGGTTTACAAATATTGACCTTGGACACTTGAAGTTATTGAGAATGAACGTTTAACGTGGCTGAAATGTTATGGTCTGCCTTGCCACACCTGGGGAGATCGATTCTTTAAATTTGTCTCATGTTGTGTGGGTGAGTTCATTTGTTGTGATACAGAAACGGAGAAGAAGAAACACTTTGATGTAGCTACGTTCTTAGTTAAAACTAAATATACATTGAATCTCAATGAGATACTTAACATGGAAATTGATGGAGACATATTTAGTATAAAGTTAGTTGAGGATTTCCATGGCCCAAAGAGAATTTTGTTAATAAGGATGGGAATGAGGTAATTGGTTCTGAGACGTCGAAGGAGGATGAAAAGGATGGAGTGTAGGAATCAACGAAAATCTCATAGGAGGAAGAGTACAAGGAAACCAATTTCCAAGATTTTAAAAAGAATGATGATGTAGGTCACCTAGAACCTGGGGAGATGGATGTGGCGTTGTATAAAAAGTGTGCGCAGAGTGAAAGGTGTGAGACAGATGAAAATTTGGGGGTGCGTGATGGATTGGATGTGTCAGGTATAAAAATGTGTATTGGAAGTGGGGGAAAATACAAAAGTGATAATAGTATAGTGTCTTGCACGCTTTCCCCTTAACACGTGGGAAATGAAGAAGCGTTATTGGGTCAAAGAGTTGTTGAAACTTTAGTGGGAATAGTGGATTCATATATAGCTTTGAGTAATCTAATTTGCCAACATCGTTTAATGGGCTTGAATATTATAGAGTCTGATCTAATTTCTTGCACACAAATTGAGCCTATTAGGCATGTTAGGCCTGGAGTAGTTGTTAAAAGAAATAAGATGAAACTGGTCAACGAGATATGCGAAAACATTAAAATACCCTTCTCTCCATCCTATTTTTCAGCATTGATTCATTCTGTTCATAGAGCTCCACTAGTTACTAAGGTTGTCAGTGGGACTCAACACAATAATTCCCATGGAAGGTCGCTAGAGGAGGAAGTTTTATCCTGTTACTCTGGAGGTTCGATTTTATGTTGTGAGTCAATGTAATACACCGTAATTTCTAAAATGCTCAAAATAATATTAGTTGAGATCAGATGAGTTCCTATATGCTTTGAGAATTATCAGTTGGGATAATTATAGTAACCAGTGAGCTCAGATTGATTTAATTAATATTATTCGACTCTAACCTTTTATTAATTAGTACAATTAAGACATTTGATAACACTAATATTGGGCAATTTTACCGCTTAATATTCTTTTCCTACCTCATGTGCCACTCTTACCATCTTTATCCTAAATGATATTTTCTATGTATCATTCTTTTCCCTTTATTCTAAGAAAGTGAGAGTATTAGAAGATAGAAATAAAAGATAGTAAAAGGAGTAAAGAGAAAGAAGAGGAAAGGAGGGAAAGAAGAAGAAAACCCTAGAAGAAGAAGCTCATTCATCACTCTTCCTTATCTCATCTTCAACCATCATTTTCATCATCATCATACTAGAGGTGGGTTCTAGATAGATACTTAAACTAGGCTTATGGGATAGTTTGACAAATGTTGAGTTTTGGCGTGTTCTTACTTCTAACATCATGAAATCCATGTGAATATGACCCGTTTAATTCAAATTTGCAAAAATTTGAAGAAAAAAATATATGGAGTTAGTAGAGGTGGTAAGTGGGTATGTGTGTCGTTTAGCTTTGTTTTACAAAAATTTGTAAAAAAAATAAAATAAGGGTGGAGTGGGACAAACATTGTGGAGGTTGCTGCCCTAAAATTTTGATCTATCTAAAAATAAATAATGGTGGGACTGGGCGGACAATCAGGCATTTTGTATATTTTAAGACTAAGAATGCAAAATATTATGTTAAGGCTCACACCCGCAAAAATCCGTAAAAAAAAAAAAAGGAGCGGGCGGAGTGGATAGAATAGAGGAGCGGGTCTAAAACCTTGATATGTCTCATAAAAAATATGGGCAAAACGGCAAAGTCGTCTTTGAGGGTGTGTAAGGCGACCTACATCACAAACTGTCACAAAATTTCAAGATTATGTTATGGCAAAAAGGATCTTCATACATAAATTTCATGATTAATTTATGATTGAATAGGATCTATTAAAAAAATTTCACAAACTTACTTCAACTTCATAAACAGAACCTCTCAAAAGTTTAAGACAGTTCTGCAAATGAACATGTCCTACAGACCAAATTCGTTTTGCCACCCTAAAAATGGATGAACACAATTTAAGATACGAGCCAAAAACTTTTGTTCAATTCTTAAAATAAATAAAAAAAGATGGAGTCAGTTTGCAGATTGGTTAATTTTAAAATTCTAAATATTATTAAATTTATTCTTAATAACCATGTTCGGAGAAAAAAATAGAAGGATAAAGAAAAACATATTAATAAGTGTGGATTTAAAACCTTGATCTATTCTATAAAATTGAACCCGATGTATTTTAGTCAAATTTGCCATTTCTAATAAAATTGGACTAACTCAAAATAAAATTCCAAGCTCTTATAAAATAATTATTTTTAAAAAGTGAATTAACCACTTAAATTTAATCACTTTATAATTTTATATTTATCATCATTTTGTGATTGATGTATTCACATTACATTTTTCCTTTTAATATTCAAATTATTTTAAAATAATTTTTCCCAATTCCGAGTCCTTATTTGTTGCTCGGTTTTTATTTTTTTAATCATGAAAATTTTGAAGAAAAATAACTAGAGATTTTGTGATGTGGTTGAAGATCATGAGATTTTTCATTATGACCCATTGAAAGAGACCTAGACCTAATTTTGTTGCCAAGCAATGTTTCATTTAGAAAAGTTGTATTGTTTTTATGTTACTTTGAAAATGTCACGGTGTTAACCTACTTATATTTAAGTGATTTTGACCCAAAAGTACTTAAGACAATAATGATTAATAATGAAGATGACCAAGTCTATGTCTATTTTAGATGAAGATCATCAATGGATTTTTCAATGTCCTTTCTATAAGGTACAAACTTAGGCAACCCTTATTCTTTTTCTGTTATGATGTTGAAATACAATCAAATAATAAATGCTACTATAAAATGTTTCTATAGAAAAAAATAAAATAAAAATCTTTCTACTAGAAGAAAATGAGGTAAAACTCAGCATAATTCATAAGCCAATTTTATTAGTTATTTTGAAGACTTTATAAAAGCAAGTCTAAAATATGTTAATAGTGTATTATAAGCCCATTTTTTAATAAGTTTTTTAAATATGTGAATGCAGACTTGTTAAATTTTTTGATTGAGAGATTCATTTTTTATTATAATCATCTCGAACACCATATATTAATTTAAGTAGTCGCACTCATATAAAAAATTAATTATAGTTTGATTTTTTTGAGTTTATTCATCTATTTTAAATTCTCTTTTATTTTAGATATATTATTGGTATTATTAAAATGAGAAAAAACTACAACATTTTTAAGATACACTTAAAAAATAGTTATAATTTGTAAATACTAAAAATACTTTAAATATTTGGATCTACAATGTTATATTTTTTGCAATTTTTTATTTTTATTATAATGATGCAATTGTAAGATCATTGTGAAACTATACCTATTAAAACATTTTTCTTCCTTTTTCCATAAATTGTAAAAGTAAAAGGTTTGAAATTCAATATTTTATCAAGAATTTGATGCTTGATAATATCACATATAATGGTTCCATCGGTAAATTTGAGTAGAAAGTTAACATTAGTGTTAAAGTTATAACTAACACACACATTCTTCAAACTCAAATTCTCTAAATCTTTTACAAATGTAACTACCTTTGGGTTTTATACAATAACCCAAATTCAAATGTGAATTAAACGCAAACTCAAATACAAATGAAATTTAAACTAACAACTTAAATCTGAATTACATTACAACATCATCCCTTAATTCATATTCATGATTAAAAATGAATAACACTAATTTCATCCCTTAAATTGATGAAGTGTTTAATTTTGATTGCCTTGGTCATCACATCTGCAAGTTGCTTCTGAGTGTTGTAATGAACAACCTCAAACACTCCATTCTGAACTTGATTGTGTAGAAAATGATACTTAGTATTAATGTGCTTGCTTATTCCTTGTAGCACAAGATTTTTTACAAGACTTTTAACTGACTTGTTATCAATCATCAATTTGTCTTGTTTGCTCACCTTGAACTTAAGTTCCTACATCAAATTCATCAGCCAAATAGTTTGACATGCTGACAACGCGCCAGTTATGTATTCTACTTCACAAGTTGACAAAGCAACCATTGGTTTCTTCTTGGAACATCAAGAAATATGAGCTCATAGATACATAAACATGTATCATGTAGTGCTTTTTATGTCTACTTTATCCCCACACTAGTTAGAGTCTGAATAGCATATCAGCTCAGCATCATTTGACACTTCAGATGGAAACAAAATTCCATGCCTCATAATCCCTTTTACATACCTCAGAATCTTGACTATAGCTTGATAATGTGACCATCTTGGCTTACTCATAAACCTACTTACCATTCCAACTTCATAAAATATGTCAGGCCTGATGTTACATAGATATCTCATACATTCAACCAACTGTCTGAAGGTTGTAACATTTACATCCTCACCACCAGCATCAAAGTCCAGCTTATGGTTTGTCTCAACAGGTGTGACTACTGACTTATAATTCGCCAGCTCAATTCTCTTTAGAAACTCAAGTTCATACTTCAGTTGAGGCACAATGATTCCTTTGTCAGAATGTAAAGTCTCCAATTCTA